CACATTGTGAGGTTGCAGGCAGGCACAGATCGGGGGTGATGCCAAATAGGGCTGTTAAGGGATTAGGGCCTAAATTACAGTTGAGGACTTGATTGAGAGTGTCAAATATATTAGACCAAAAGCTTGTAAGTTGGGGGCACGTCCAGAACATATGTACATGGTCAGCTGGCGACTGTTTACATCTCTCACAAGCATCACTTCGATCTGGAAATATCTTTGCCAGCCTAGCATTAGTAAAGTGGGCTTTGTGAAGCACCTTACATTGCAGTAGGCCATGTCTGGCACATATGGATGAGGAATGTACCCGGTCCACGATGCGAGCTCAGTGGTCGTCTGAAATAGTAATTCCCAAATTCTCCTCCCAGGATTTTTTAAGAGTTTCAGTAGGTGCTACCTGTACAGTTTTAATTAAATTATAAATAACAGATATGAGTCGCTTCTGGGAGTGATCAAGAGTAAGAAATTGGTCGATATAGGTTTCAGGGGGGCGGTTGGGGAAGTGGGGGAATAGCTTTTGAACAAAATGTCGGGCCTGAAAAAATCGGAAGAGGTGACTATTGGGTAAGTTGAATTTAGTTGATAAGTTGATACTTGACCAGAAGCGGAAAGCCGGGTGAGAGCAGGATGGAGGAAACAAGTGGTTTTTTAGGATGGGCATATGGATTGAGGCCCTATGAAAACTGAAATGTTTCCTAAATTGGAGCCAAATTTTAATAGTACTGTTAACAACTGGATTAGTAGAAGCTTTACTAGCAGATATGGGGAGCTGGGAGCAGAGTATAGCAAATAGAGAGCTACGAGAGGACGAGATCTCAATATGAGCCCAAGGTGAAAGGCCATTTAGTGCTCTCCAATAGGCCCAGTAAAGCAATTAATGAATGTTACAAGCCCAATAGTAGTGACAAAAGTTAGGGAGCGCCAAGCCTCCTTCAGACTTTGAGAGCTGAAGAACTGACCTCTTGAGACGCGCGGGTTTGTTGTGCCATAGAAATATATTCAGCAGGTGATCAAGGTTAACAAAAAAAGATTTACTAATGACCACTGGGATATGTTGAAAAGTATATAAGAACCTAGGTAGTGTGATCATTTTAATCAAGCTGACACGGCCCGTAAGGGACAATGGAAGGGAGGCCCACCTGGTTATGTCTAATTTAAATTTGTCCAGCAGAGGCTGAAAATTTTTGGAGAAAAGGTCATTAAATGAGTTGGTAAAGAATACTCCCAAATACTTAAATCCCCCTGACGCTATATTAAAAGGAAAGATCGAATGCGGAAGAGACTTTGCTAAAGAGTTAACAAAAAATAGCTCACTTTTTTGCAAATTCAATTTATAACCAGAGAGTTGGCCAAACTGGTCCAAAATTTCCAGTATTGGTGGAAGGGATGATGTGGGGTTAGAAATGTAAAGAAGAAGATCATCTGCGTAGAGGGAAAGTTTATGGACTACATTGTAACGTGTAATGCCCTCAAATCTTTCCTGGCTACGAAGCCAAATTACTAAAGGCTCTATTGCCAAATCGAAAAAGCAAGGGAGACAGCGGGCATCCCTGGCGTGTCCCGTGGTACAAAGGAAAAGGTGGTGACTGCATACTGTTAGTATAGATGGAAGCGGTTGGGGTGGTGTATAAGAGACGGATCCAGCGAATAAAGTTAGAGTCAAAACCAAATTTGTCTAAAATGAAGAACAGATAACCCCACTCCACCCTATCAAAGGCTTTTTCGGCATCAAGGGACACTACAATTTCAGGACAGTTAGAAGAAGGGGAATAAAGAATATTAAGTAATCTCCTGGTGTTAAAGAATGAATGTCTGCCCTGTATAAAACCTGTTTCGTCGGGAGCAATAAGGTCTGGCATAATCTGTTGAAGACGACGAGACAGAACTTTGGCCAGAATTTTTAAATCTACGTTTAAGAGCGATATTGGTCTATAACTACTGCAAAGGGTAGGGTCT